AAAACTCCGTTAAGCGGAGTGCAGCAACTTATATGACATCAAATTATCGAAAGCTAATCGTCTTTCGCGCTCATCCTTTTTATAAGATACAAAAACTTAAAATTGAAGTTGTAGTGCATGTTGTGCAAGTTAAAGTTAAATTATCTAAAAATCACGAGTTGAGACGAAAAATTGATTATGCGTTAAAAGTTACGGTTGAGAAACACAACAAACACGCGGAGATGAAAGATGCCGACGACCAGTGGAATTCTCAGAAAAAAAAGGGTGGAAACTTCTCGAAATAAAGGGGCTCTTTTAAGGAGCTGGTAAGGGATTTTAGGGGGAGAATGTCCAAAATGCGCTATCGCTTAAGGGGCTAAAGAAAGATGATGAAATAAAAGAATGTATTACAAAATTAAAAGAATTAGTATTATTGATTAAAAAAACCGGATATTTATAAATTAGGCTGTGACCTAATGTCACACCTTTATTTGTAATAGTATTATGCTTTCTTAAGTTTGTTTACTATTTAATATTTTTATGGTATTACTCCTATTATATATTACTTATGTATTATTAAATATTACTTAATGTATTAGACTTCATTATTTTATAATTTTTTATTTAATTTTTTTTTTAGTTGGAGAATTATTACTACTTTCAGACTTTTTTATTAAAACACTGCGCAGAAATGCTCAGACTTGATCAATGATTACGTTTATTGTAACTATTACATGTAGATGATATTTAAATTATTCAAAAGTAACACGAATAATTTAAATATAATTCAAACTTTTCTTTTAAAGAAATTATTCTAATAAATATATATATATATTTAATTCTTTCTACAACATCATTCAATAATATAAAAAAAGTACGACTTAAATTCATCATTATTTTTTTGTTACATTACCAACAAAATTATGTAACTGTTATTGAAAAGTCGCTAATATGAGGACAATTTTGGATTAAATTATGTTTATAAAAAAGGAAACAAATCAAATGTTTCTCTTTTCCGGTCATTGCTAAAATCTGTTAGTGAAGAGATAATTTAAAATGTCAATTTTGTCAATAAAAAGAAATAAATTTATCTCCACAAATACGTTGTAATTCATACTGACTTCAAAGCAAATTGCTGTCTATATTTACTAAGATATCCATTCTCAATGCATACTGAGAGAACAAAAATATAACGTTTACAAATCGAATATTTTAAAACCATTCCTTTAGATTTAATTCAATGGATAGCAATTATTTTGAACATTATGTTTAAAAAATTACGAAGTTTATGTCTCATCAATCATCATACAATTTTCAAAAATTACCTCCAAACGGTTTAAATAAAACGCAAACTTTTTATTCAAAAGAAATTACTATTATAAATGCATATTGATTTTTTCTTACAAAACACAATGTACTGCAACAATAATAAAATAATCATAATTTCTCTATTATAACACAATGCATTCTTTTCACAAAAATCATCCTTCTTTTGTTATTTCCTTTACTATTTTATATTTGCTTTTATTATTGCAGTAAAATATTCATAACATGTATAAAATATTCATAACATTATTTTCAAAGCAATTTTGAATTTCGTTAAGAAAAAGAGGAAAAACAATTATAATAAAAAAAACTAGTCAATTTTTCCACAATAAAATCTAATTGATATCAATTGATTTAGTTCAATTTGAGAATTCAACTGTTTCCTTTTTTTACTCATTTAAAACTTCTCATTGTAATTATTCAATTTACGTTGCCATGTATGTTTAAATTATTACGAAACCTATTTTCCGTGCTTCGATTGATTATAGCATGCCTGCTTTTCCAACTAAGCCTGGAAACACTAGTAATCAATAAAAAGAGATATACAATTAAAATGAAAGGAATGATATTTTGTATGCTAAGTTGGAGAACACAAGTAAGTTGAAATGAAATTATTTATACTTCTAGACTAAGATATTAATAGTATTTTTTGAAGCTCTTTGAACCTCGAGATAAGAAAAAATGGACAGTTTAAGCTTCTTTCTCTCGAAGCAAAGCTGTAATCTGTCCATCTTGTCATAATCTGGGCATTGAAACAGATAAATGACTTAAAATATTTTAAAAATTATTAAACTTTATGTAAAAATCAGAAATATTTTCCACCTAGATGGATAATTATCAAAATCAATGAATAACTGAAACTTTTTTTTTTCAAATTTTTATGTTCCTAGATAATGCAGCATTGAAGTAACTTTTTAAATATTAAAACAATTGATCTTAAACACTTTTCATTTTCATAAAACCGAGGCTTCTGTTCATACCGACTTTTGATCCCTTTTTTTTCTTTCAAAATTAGCGTAGAGGACACTGGTCGAATAGAAACTAAACTTGACCTAACTGTCGTGAACAACTGTTACATAGTCATTGCGACTGTTACCACTGTTAGTCATTTTCATAACTTCTATGATCACTGCAGTGAACGCGTTTGAGAGATAAATATTCGCAAAAAAAAGCGTCATTTAACTAAGGCCTAATTCACTCCCCTCCTCACGGACAGAAACATGGTCAGGTCTACTAGAGTATGGTAAAATTTACCGTAATTCTGGCTATATGGGAACAATAAGAGGCTCAGTAATTTTCATTCAAATGGTTTGGTAATGATTTTGGTAAAATTAACCGAAAATATGGTTTTATAATATGTTATAAAATTTGGTATAATATAGCCTAATTATAACTACATGGTATACTTATATCCTTAGAACGTAATAATAATATAATACTTGTGTATATATATATATATACATGTATATAAGTTCAAAATGAAGAATAAAACAAAGAAAAATTATAGACATATGAATAAAAGGCGGGGGGGGGGAAATAATAGATAAAAAAATAACAAACAAATAACAAACAACTAATTATAAAAAAAAAAGAAAAAAAGGGATGAAAAATTTAAAAAAAAACCGGGAAAAAAAGATATAATCTTTTCATCAACCCACACGATTATATCCGCAAAAAAGAGTGCAAAATTATCTATTAAATAATAATTTATTAAAAAATTTATTAAAAAATTTTTTTGTTAAAATTANTTTATTTATTTATTTGTTTATTTATTTAACATTATTTTATGGAAACAGTTTCCTTTTTGTGGTTGTATTAAAACTGTTTTGAAATATATTGTATTGTTGTTGTAGAATTCGCAAAGAGGAAGAAAATGGGTGATTTGTTCTATTTTCGGGAACAAAATGATACGTCCTCTATGGTACAGGATGAACCGAAAATTGTAAGTAAAGTTTTTTATTTATTTCAGTTTTCTGTGTCATTTTAATTTTACTTTTTTTTTTATCATTTTGCGTTTTCTCCAAAGTGATAGCTAAATGAAAAATTGGTGTGAGTCCAAAAAATGATGAAATAAAAGAAAAAGGATGAGGCTTAGATCTGATGGTAAAATTAAATATCTTAAACGGAGATGCCAACTTGCTCCGCTTTTTCTTGCTCTAGCAAACTTCGTGTTTTAATGTGTGATTCCTGGGTTACAAAAATTCGATTGAAAATTATTTTATCATTCCCTACTCATAAACAATAAAAAAGCTCATTTAAAAGAAACAAAGGTAATTTCATTCTTACTGTCTCGAATGCTCCTACCGTACTTTCTACAGTCGTTCCTACTGCAAATGCCAGAATAACGGGAGTACTGTATGACAGTGTACTGGAGTATTCGAATGCGCAATTTGAAACATGTTATAAACTCTGAGTGAAAAGGACTTTTTGATTAGCAAGTATAATTTTTTATATTGCCAATTAGTTGAAATAAAATTACGAATAATTTTTTCTAAAACTAAGGAAATTTAATCTTGCAAGAATCATTTTAAGTGATTCGCTTTTCAAATTTTCATCCTATTTCAAAATATTTTTTAAGTATTCATTTGGTGACTAAAATGTATTTAT